TGAGAAAAATCGACCAAACCAGTGCAAGAAAGTCCCCCGAAAGTGCCCCGAACACGAAATTCATTATAAAGTAAAAGTAACCAAGCTAAAAGGGCGCATACTCAATCAATATTGATTAATACTTACTTTTTGACAAATTAAACCTCCTCCTTGCCCACCAACGTCGTTTTATCCTCGCGCGAAAAGAAGAGAGGGAAGTTTTGTTCTGGAAACTACGCTTACCATGCGTTGACGTATTTTCCTTGAAATATCAAAATATCTTTAAAAATATCTGATTTGTAGCACTAGCTGGAAAAACTTCATAACTAAATCATAATTATTACATGTGAAAAGTAGCCATATTTCAGCTAATAGTACCTAATATGGTACTACAGGGTGAATGAGATGACTGCTGTCGACTGTTACTACATACCGGATGACGCAAAAACACGCATCGGTATCAAAACCAAATCTACGAAACATACTACGACGAGGACCTTGACGCCAGCTTTTAATACAAAGGAGAGGAGTAATTTGAGCAGTGCCAATGTGATACGAAAAAATCATGAACCTACGCGATCCACAGGGGGGGTTTCATAGTGGCAAATAGGGGCGCTGTTTTCTTGCGCAAACCTAAGAAAAATAAAAGCTATAGCAATTCGTATGTACGAGGTCTGATCAAAAAGTTCCAGTACTTTCTTGTTAAAAAATAAACCGCTTTAGGTAGGGGGCTAGGACTAGTGAAGGTGGGAGTGGGGGGGTGTAACCGCACGCATGGTGAAACCTCCTTTGCGCTAGGATTAACCAGTCGCGAATCACGAGTGTTGAAATCCGGTCGTCTGTGCTCTTCGTCGAATTTTCGATCATGCATCATGAGTTTGTCCCACAAGGCCAGACAGTTAACCAAGCTTAGTGCAAAGATGTTTTGACCCGTCTGCGAGGAAAAAAAAATCAGAAGAAAACGGCCCCAACTTTTCCAAAATGAAGCCTGGTTTTTGCATCACCACACTGCTCTCACAATTCGAGAGTTTTTGGCTAAAAAAAAAAAATCCTGTGTTGCCCCACCCTCCCTATTCACCGGATCTGACTCCGTGTGACTTTTTCCTGTTCCCCAATATTAGATTTCAAGTGAAGAAAGAAAAAAGATTTGAAGGCTTTGCAAGCATCAAGGAAAATGCGACGAGGCAGCTTAAGAGTCTTACACTCCAGGACTTCCAGCACTGCTTCCAGAAGTTGCAAGAGCGTTGGGATAAGTGCATAACATCGAGGGGGGAAAGGGACAACAATTAATTTTAATGTACTTGTTAAAAATAAAGTTTACGAATAAAAGTACTGGAACTTTTTGATCAGACCTCGTATACCTGCTGCTTGGGTCTGAGAAGGTTCAGAATTATTTACATTTTTCTACTCGCTCTCTAGTCTCTTAGCCTAATTGATGAGGTTCGGCATTACAGCAAAAGAAGCGCACATGAATACACAATCTGGGCGTGTATGAAGAGATGGAAGATAAATGGGCGAGAAATGAAGAATGAAAGCGCGCCTGTCTGGATTTTCCGCCCGAGGGAAGAGACTTCCCCCCCCCCCCCCCCGACTTGCACATAACCGTTCTTTTCTAAATCATATATACAACCGGCGGAAATGGCCCTTGTGGCAGAGCGTCCGCGTGCCGTCCGGGAGGCGGGGATTCGATCCCCGCCGCCGCCTAACCCAGGCGTAATTGGGTACACACTTTCCCGGCCTCGCCTGGTACTCGACGCTCAGTACTGGGACAATCAGGAAGGAAGTGTGGGATAATTGGGGCCTCCCCTCCAGCGGGGAAGCCCTGATTATTTTGCCCAGATCTAGTCATATAGCCGGGGCATCCTTTTCTCCGAGCGTTCGTAAAGGAGACTCCCATCACCTCTTTACGACACAACCGCATCATTAACCCTTTCTTGCATGAATTTTAAGGCAAAACAAAAATCTACATTTTTTCGTTTAACGCTTAAGGAGGTACTTTGTCAGAGTAGTCGCATGTTCCACCGCTAGAAAGCAACACTGAATAATTATGTGCCCTTGAGTTGACTGCATGCACCAAAAGTTTTGGGGTATGTGTAACATGGCTGAAAAGCCATGGCTTTTCCATCATCATAGCCAGAAATTCAGCCGTTCACTACAGTGGACACAATGCACGAAACGGTTAAGTCATTCTTAGACAAGCAGCTGTCAGAGGAAGATTGAGAACTGGTGAGAACACTGAATATGTGAATGAGAATAAGATTGGCAAAAGGAATGCGGCAGGCGTGCTAGCCTACCACATTCTGAGTCCGAGAATGGGCCTTTTCTCCTTCAGAGAAAAGGCCAATTTACTATAGCGCGGCGTGACGTGCGTAGTTTTCCCCTCGTATGGGTTTAGTCTAGTCATGCAAGGAGAGCGAAAAAAAATCTCAAGGGCTTTCTATCTATAGAAAAGAAGGTCTCTTCCTGTGTCACGTGAATTTTCCATTCCATCGAGGACGCTGGATGCGAGGAGTAGAAAGACGGAGAAAAGGAGGTGGGAAAGCGAGGCCGGGGGGGGGGGGGGGGGGGGGGGGGGGGGGGGGGGGCGCCAT